CAGATTTTATTGCCTGCTCAAATTCAAGTCAGTCCCTTTTGAGTGGACAAAGGTTGTCCAATCTTCTTAAGCCCTTTAAGTTTTTGTCTGGGGAATTTCTTCAGGGAAAATTCTCAACCATGACACAAGCCTAGAGTTTGATAATAGCTGAAGGCAGAGTGACCTATCTTAGTAAAGAATGAGAGAAAGACTGACCAGAGACTGAATAGGAATTGGTTGATAGTATTCATTGGGACTAGATGATAAAGTCAGTCAGCCCAACATGAGCAAATGGGGAAAATGGGGAGAATCATATGGATCAATAGAGAGAAGAGGAAAGGAAAGGAGTGAGACTGAAGTATGGAAAAGCCTTTAAAGCCTTTGTAAGGTTTGTAAGGCAAAGCTTCTGAGAGACAGTGTATTACCTGCCTTCACAGCCCTTCAGTTACTAACCCTATGAGACACACTTGTGTTCAGCTGCTCTTGGATGGCGAGGGGACCTAAGTCCATGTGTGTGTCTCTTTTTTTAATACAGGCTTCCCATCTGTATTTCTAACATATAAATATAAGTGGGGAGATGACAAGTGATATTTCTATATGGTACACAGGTATTAGAATTGCACACATTCTATAATTTATATGTATAATGGCCAGTGCTTTCAGCAGGGAACAGAGGAAGCCTAGGTAACTCCCGCTTCCAGAGCATCCGTCTGTATGGAGACCTCAGTTCAGCTGCTGTGACATCTATGTTCAAGGGGTCATCACTGGAATAGCAGACGCCCTCTCCTTCCATTCTGGCAGAGGTGTGCATACATGGGCTGGGAATTCTATCTGCCCTGTCTGTTGTCTTTGCTATCTTCCTAATGTGATATCACATTTACTTAACCTGTCTTAAATGGAGTACAATCTCTGGTCTGATTACTGTCAAGTTACAGAACTGTCAGAGACTTGTGAATGTACCTCTCTGAATTCTGGTCAGATGTCTTGCAAAGGTGGGTATCAGTAGAGTTTTCCAGCAGGATTCCCTCTTTAATATGGAGTGGGAGGCAAACATTGAAGTTTCCAACACTCAAAAAAGCAATGCCCTGTGTTTACGAAGAAGTATCCAAAGCTGTGGGAGAGGCAATGGCTTTGCCTCACGAAGCTAATACTGTTTTGGATTGGGTGTTCCTCTGTCTCTGTAGTCCTTTGTTTGCGCCCAAATCTCTGAGCCAAGAATCAGTATACAGACAAGTACTGACTGATTCCTGTCACTGTTTCTCAAGTAAACTCTTAACCATGTCTGTCAGAATTGATTGTGTCATCAAAGGTCCATGATACTCAGGATGGTAAATGCCAGAGATTGAAGTCTGATCTCCACTTTGGCCTTTCTCAAGCACTGTAAACTGAGTGTAAATGTGCCCAACTCCCTCATGGCCCATCTACAATACAATAAAACAGTGTTTGCTTACAAAATCTAGTCCTAATTAAAGTATTTATTTAGAGTTGATTTAATCAAAGATACTTCTAAATGGAATATTATATTTCAAATATACGGTCTATGTTTCACTTCTAGAACTTTTTATTAGAATTCTGACATTCGGAAAACAAATAGATATTCAAAAACTACTTGTTTAATTAAACAGTTTAGTAACATCAATATAGAAGTTCTCCAGCCATTCAGAAGTAGCTTGATTGCAAAGCATACATTTTTCCTTTGTTTCTTGAAATGCAAGTATTTATAAAACAAATAAAAAGCAAAAATCTCATACATGTGATAGCTATAGATACATTCATAGGAATTAAATTCAATTGAAAAGTACTTTTAAGGGCTATAATGTGGCTACTAACTTCATTGTTGGTAATGATTCCGCAAATGTTTAATGGAAGCTGTTAATAACAACACAGGAAAAGATTAAAGATATTATCAGGTTGTGTGGATAGAAATGGAAAGAGAAAGGTCGCTCTCTCAGTCACAGAGCTTGCAGAATTTGTGAAGGTTTGTTCGAGGAAAAAGAGAATAATGTGACATCATATCAACGTCTTGATCTGAAATTAGATGACCAAGGTTTCAGAGTAGGGAATCAGAAATGTAACTATGCAGAGAAACAAGGGATATATAGCTCAGACAATTTTAAAAGAACAGGAGCAGACGGCAAGTGTAGGAAGTCACGGCCCATGTGGAAATCACACAGACCACAGTGTGCACACAGCGACAGAAATCAGCAAGGGACACAAGGCTTCCAGTTAGGAAAGTTAGACAGCAAAATTTAAGTTGTCCCACCCAAATCACCCAAAACATGATTTATACTCTCTCAAACAGGGGGAGAAGAGGCAAACATCTGGATATGTCTAAAACCTCACAGAGAACCTCTGGGTCCTTTGTATTTTCCCCTCTGACTTTGTCAATATGCTAGCGACATCTAGATAATTTCAATAAAGGTCACTAATTGTCTCTGGAGGGTCAGGTCTCGTTTCCTGTGAACACCCAAAACCAGGAGATGGAATTTGTTTCCTTGTCGCTCATTTTCTCAGTAAGAGAATTCCTTCTGCTTTGCCCAGGATCACCTCCCCTTAAGCACAAATACTCAAAATATCAAGTTCACTTTGAATTCTGGGATGAGGAGGCTTTAGGTCAAGCATCTGTGTGTCTGTGTGTGTGTCTGTGTGTGTGTGTGTAGTATGATTGTGTGTATATATATGTATGTATATATATATGTGTGTGTATATATGTACATATATATGTATATACGTATATATATGTGTGTGTGTATGTATATATGTCATACAAGTGTGTGTATATGCATATGTGTGTATGTGTGTGTGCATGTATGAGTGTGAGGGTGTATCTATTGTGCATGTGTGTGTGTACATGTGTATATGTTTACATGTGTGTGTGAGAGAGTGTGAATGTATTGTATATGTGTGTGTAGGTATATATGTGTATATGTTTATGTGTGTACATATATGTGCATTATATATATGGATGTTTACATGTGTATGTGGTATGTGTCTATGCATGTCTGTGTCTGTGTGTTCAAGCACGTATTTACTAAAAAAAGCTCCTCTAGCTAATGAGTCATTGAAGTGAAGAAGCCTTATATTAACACATAAATATGTTTCCAGCATACATTCCAATATTAGTAAGACTTTCCCCATCATAACTTATTAGACACTTAGATTAGGTGATGCAGAAGTAAAATTATGAAAGCACATATGCTGAGCTGAGGTGGGTGAAGTAAAATCTTCTTTCCTGTGTCCTTCCTCCTGTTCTTTCTCCTAATGGCCCTCATCCTCTTTCTCCCTTTCCTTTCTGTTTAAATATTCTATCATTGATCCAAGCTAACTAACCCTTCCCTTACTCACGTGTGACCTTCCAGGAGGAATCTGTTTATAGTCAGCAAAAATTGGCCAAAGACATGCCAAACAAATGACTTTACTCTAGCTACCCCACTTGATGAATCTATTGGGTCAGTAGGTGAGGGGTTATTTATAGGAGCTTGACTGATTGGTGCAGCTGCATCTCTGACAAGTCCCCCAAAGCATCATGGGTGGGAACGGCGTTATACCATGGATGGTCTTCTTTCTTACTAAATATTTACTGCTTAGGTCAACACTGGGCAGGCTTGTGAGTCTTGTGGGTTTCCTGTGCCCTGGGAGGCTGGTTATTAATGTATATGAAAGAAACTACTCAACACTGAGTCACAAGACAAGCCCCTGAGAATCAGTGGCAGAGGTGGTAATAGAGAAATCTGACGCAGTTCCTGAGGCAAGAGTCGATCCTTCTCCACAGTGACAAGGAAACGAGAGCCACACAAGACTTAAGGCTAAGACCATGAGCTTGTGAAGTTCTCCTCTCCTAGGATTTGAATGCACTTAACTCTGAGGACTGACTAACAGGGCAGTGGTTCTGGAAATTTTCTCAGAGTTTGTCTTTCCCCCTGTATGTTTCTAGGAGAAGCTTAGTGCATAGGCAGAAGTTGCAAAGTCTTAACACATTAACCCACATCCCAGATTGTTTTATATCAATTGTTTTATAATTACATGTTTTAACTTTTTTTTTGGTTTTTGATTTGTGTGTGTGTGTGTGTGTGTGTACGGGCGTTTTATATGTGTGCATGTGAGCCAGAAGACTCTGTTCTCTCTTTCTTGAAGGTGGGTTCTAGGGTTCAAAGTTAGGTCCTGAGGGTGTGTGTGTGTGTGTGTGTGCGCGCACACATGCCACGGCACATGTGTGAAAGCAAATGGGTGCCTTGAGGGAATCAGTGTGTTCTTCTTCCATCATGTGGAACATATGACTTCAGGCAACCCATCTCTGTTCCCCAGGTGTGGCTACAAGAACTTGCCTGCCAAGTCATCTCCCTGGCTCCCATATTAGTTTATAATAATACACCCTTTCGGGCTAGAGAGATGGCTCAGCAGTTAAGAGCACTGTTTGTTCTTCCAAAGTTCCTGAGTTCAATTCCCAGCAGCTATAAGGTGGCTCACAACTATCCCTAATGTTGATTGATGTCCTCTTCTGGCATCCAGATGTACAGATAGAACACTCATATAAATAAATAAACAAACAAACCTTTAAAAAGAAGGAAAGACTAGAAGGACAATGCAGCCTTTCTTTTAAGTAAGAAAATATGCTTAGAATACAGAATAAATACTGGTGTTGAAAGGTGAAAATCAGAAGGAATTATATACTGGAAATGTTTGAACTCTTTTATGCAAAACCAAATGGTAAAGACAATGTTATAATAAGGTAAGGTATTCTTCATGTGCATATACTTGGTTAATAACCAGTGTAGATCTATGGGTGAATGCATCTAATAATACATGAAAAAAATCATCATTTTCAGAGAACTCCAGTGAAACTCACCGCTAACCATCAATCACTTTGATAGACAAGAATGCCACGTCTGAAGTTAACACACTTGCTTTCTCCTCAAACCATAAGCTACTAGCTACAGTGTTGGGGAGGACTGAACCACAGTATCAAGATGCACTGTTCACACATGTACCTGGTCTGATGTGTGTCTATTTAACACTTGCAGACGTCCAACGACACCTTCGAAATTCCGCTGATGTTGACTGGCAACGTGGTGCTGAGGAAAAGACTCAACTATGAGGACAAGACTCGCTACTACGTCATCATCCAAGCGAACGTGAGTTCTTGCCTTCTCACACCTTCGGTTCTGGAGCTTATAAAGCAAAATGTGCCTCTGCACAGGTGTGGTGGTCATGTGGCTGCTGTCACTTTATTAACCAAGCTAAAATGTATGCTTGCCTTCTCTTTTCTTTCATTCTGGACCCCATAAAGCAAAGTGCACCTTTGCACAGGTGTGGTGGCCTTGGCTTTGAGTGAGATTGGGTTTGTGCTTCCTTGCCCTCGGTGGATATATTCTACATAGAGATGGAGGGAGGATGTTTGAGTATTGGTTCTGTTCTTCTTCACTATCAAAGTCACCCGCTAACATACTAACCACACCCCCAAATCTGATCTCTGCCATACTGAGATAGTTCTCCAAGTACTCTCTACAAAATAGCTACAGTGATGTCATCTTGAAGCAGGTTAAACATGTACTTTTCTGGATTCGACCTCAGAAATGTATAATCATAATCTGAGAGTGGGATTGGAAGGCTGTACCAATGGTTAGGAGTGTTTGGGTCTGAGCAGCTGTGCCAGGCAGCTCTCAAACTCCTCCACATTGATTACCCTCCCCACCCGGCAGCAACCACACATCAGAGGATAGACGTAAATGATCTTCATTTCACAGATATGTAAAGCTACTTCTGTGACATCACTACCTTCTGTGTCCTGGGTATGTGTACAGTGTGCATTAATTTAAACCCCACTGGTTTTAGGTCACTAGTTTTTAGAACATTTTGTGGTAAAAATAGGAGGACTGGGTAAATGGTTAAAATAAAGATATACTTATGGTTTGCCTTAAAAATAATGTGCATACACATGGAACTTATAATACAATGTATTTCCATCTACTGATATGAGTAAAACGTAACAAATTGGTGACTATGTCAAATGAACATTACACACCTTTAGAAAAAGTATAGGCACCAATTTTAAAATGCTTTCAACTAAGGCAGTGTTACTGCTGTTTGCATTTTTGGGTTAATCTTGGGCTTGATTTTAATGTGTCACTTATGGCTGTTTCATCCTTGCTTGGTTAGAAGCAACCACAGGTTCCACTGTGGTTGCAGGGAACTGATTGGGGCAAAGTCCCAGGGCCACTTTAGCTATGCTGTATTTTTTGCTGCTGTAAAATCTGATAATAATGGCACAGTATTTAATATATGTGCCTGTAAGTGGATCTGTTAGGTGCTTTCAGCCATTCTGGAGCTACTTTAATAGTGAATATTTAAATGCTAGACATCTAATCCAGAGATCTTGTGACAGCCTGAAAAATAAAATCAGCATTTCTGCTTCAAATTTATTTAAATGAAGTTTATATAGTTTCATGCGATTTGATAAATTCTTTGCCCCTGGATCCATCTCGTAGAACCATTACTTACTCAATATATTCCTAAAGAAAATATAGGTATGAAATATTAAAAGGTAGCATTTTCACGGGTTTGACTAAAGAAGTCCAGAGAACTAAAATAGTTCACAAGAAGTATTTTCCGTGGAAATGGGGGAATTAGAGTATCATTTATTATCTAATATTGAGCATGTTTTATTCCTTAAAGTTACAAGTTAAATATTTGAAGCTATGGTTTGTAAATGGGGTAAACATGCTAATGAGATATATGTGAGCCCCTTGTTCAAAGGTAATTCTCACTGAGATTGTACTAGGCATATACCTTGTTTTGGAAAATCAAAGTTAGTTTTTCATCATGATGTTTGGTAATAATTTCATTCAGAAACTGGTTTGCATTGTGTCTGGGAGGTATTTCACAACCATGTCATTCTAAATGTTTGTGAGCAATGAGTATTGAAACCCTGGATAAGATGCTAAGGAGATATGTAAGATACATAGGGTGCAAAAAATGCATTAAGATACTTAAGATGCATTAGATACATAAGATATATAAGATGTATAAGATGCATAAGATACACAGGATGCATAAGATACATTAGATACACAAGCTATATAAGATATATAAAATGCATAAAATACATAAGATATGTAAGATGCATTAGATACATAAAATACATAATATGCATAAAATATATAAGATACATATGATGCATTAGATACATAAGAGACATAAAATGTATAAGATGCATTAGATACATAAGATGCTAAGCTACTCTGTGTGGTAGCCTATAAACACTAACAAGAATTCCATTCACATCAGTCCCATTCTGGTCTGTGGTCGTGATGAGCTTTTCTTGTTTGTTTTGCTACTCCCTGAGTCTGTGTTAGTGCTACAGGGCATGGACACTTGGTAGCTGTCTGGAAAGAGGAGTACTCCAGGGCATGGGCACTTGGTAGCTGTCTGGAAAGAGGAAGGCAATGAGAATGTAGAGGCTGGGGAAAGGTCAGTTTTTCACATCACATGAGGTTTCCAAAGGATGCGTGGACCTGGTCCCCAGATGGGAGATTGGAAACATGAGCACGCTTCTTATTTAAGGCACAGCATTTGATCCCATTGCTTTATTTTGTCTCATTTTTCATTCTGGTCTTTGTTAGTGTATAGGATTTTTGTCTTCAATGTATATTTATGGGTTGAAGATACATGTACATTTTCAAATATTTCCCACTGTTAGCTAATGATAAATTATAATACCTACATTTACTAACATTTGGATAAACTTAAAAATTGACTCATTTTTAAGAAAAGCAATTAAAGCTTTTGATTAGAAGCAAAAGAGAAACAAGCTGTGCTTTAGGGTAATTTAGGCCATTGTTAGGATAGGAATGCAAAAAGCAAATAGTTTTAACGCTGGTCCCTTATTAATAGTCAAAAAGATTCAGGTCTTGTCATGATCAGAGACTAGATGTGCTATACAGGAGATCTAATTTATTACATATCTTCCCCTAAATCAGCACATCTATCCACTAACTCCATATGATGACATAATAAAAATTTGAGAGTCACTGGGGTACCTCATGAATGGGCCACCTGAACGAACCATGTCACCCGATTCCCTACTTCCCGTTGTACCCAAACTTCTGACTCAAGTCCCATAAAACTCTTCTAAGGTAGTTTCCCATTTCTGGAGACCCACTGCTGCTAACAGGGGCTCTATTGTCTTTCTCTTAAGTTCTGACCTATAATTCCTTGAGGAAGGTTTTCTTCTGAAGGTCCTTTTTGGTCCCTGAATTTCATTCTTTGAATTCATGAGATAATAACCCAGAGACCACAGGCCCATCATGGCTTTGGCAGCATATGATTTTCCTGCACCCTAGTCCCCTGAGCTATAGCCCAGCCTATGTCAGATAGATTCTATCAGTCTTAAGGACACCCCACTTTTCTGAATCATGTCCATGTTAACAAATACATAGTGTTAGGAAGTGTACATGATATATGAATTAACAATACAAATTGAGGAAATATAAATTAATCAATTATATTAGCCTTCTTGCCTTAAATAGCAAACATTATTGTATGGTCATCTTATGCAACAGAGATGTGTTTTATCAGTAGTTTGGAGTCTAAAACTACAGATTAAAATTGGCCAGGGTTTGTTTTGGAGGCGGGGGAGGTCTCTTTTCTGATCACAGATGTCTATTTTCTTGCTGTGTATTCACATTGCCTTCCCTTTCTCTTTATATGGGCTGGAGATCCCTAGTTCCAACTGTGTGAACTCTATACCCCTACAATGCCGGCATCCATGCTGTGATACGCATTATCCATGATGGCCCACTTATGTCACTTCACTGCGATGAGAACTGTCTCATGAAAATTTGAATGACACATGATTCAGTACAGAGAGTAGTAGGTAAACTCAGAAAATGCTTTAAAGTGCTGTCTCTGTCAATAGTAATTACAGTTTTCTATGGTAATGAAATATCCCATTTCTAAAATAAAATTTGAAAGCATTTTAGTTCTGAAAAGGAAAAGAGAAGTCAAGAGTGTGAATTAGGACATGTTATGAAAGAATTCTTTCTAGCTACTGTCTTGTGTTGTATCCTCTCCTTACGTTGAGGAAAACAAACTTACTGAAATCAGATAAAAAAAAATGTATGCAGATAATTGTTTTGTTTACATCACTCACAGTTTACAGTGTTGTTTTTCCCCATTACTCCTGTCATGCTGTCATCTGGCCAGATATTGATGTAGGAATGGCACACACAGAAGTGGCTGTCCAGGATAGATCACAAAGACATCATGCCAACACCACCATCGCCAACCAATGTCTGTGGAACAATTTATCCATCCAATGCTTCTTCCTTGGGTGTCCCTGACAAACGTTCTTCAGATAAACTCTAAATTTTATTAGAATTTTTTAATTTTTTTGTCAATAATTTATTTATTTTATTCACTTAACACCCTGATCATAGCCCTCCTCTCTCCTCTTCTCCAAGTCTCACACTTACAAATCCCTCCCTACATTACCCTCTCCCCTTCTCCTGAGAGAAAGATACCAAGGGTTGGTACCCAAGTGTACTGATCCACCCTGGTGAATCTGGTCCCAGCAGGACTAGGTACTCCTCTCCCACTGAGGCCCAACCAGGCAGTCCAGATAGGGGAAAGGAGATCCAATGGCAGGGAACAGAAACAAAGGCAGGCTCCGTTTCACTAGTTAGGAAACCCAAAGGAAGACTAAGCTCCATATCTTATACAAATGTATAGGAAGTCTTGGTCCAGTTCCTGCATGCTTCCTGATTGGTGGTCTAGGCTCTTTGAGCCCTCATAGTCCAAAGTTAGTTGACTCTGTGGATCTTCTTATAGTGTCCTTGACCCCTCTGACTTGTTCAACTCTATCACCCACTTTTTCACATGATGTTTGACTTCATCTGTTGCTATCTCCTGCTGAATGAAGCCTCTCTGGGGACACTTATGCTAGTCTCTGGTCTGCAAGCATAAGTATAACACAGTATTATTATTAGTTTCTAGGGTTGGCTTTCTCACATGGGATGACTCTCAAGTTGGGGCAGTCTTTGGTTGGCTATTCCCTCAGTCTCTGCTCCATCTTTATCTCTGAACATCTTCCAGGCAAGACAAGCTTTGGGTTGAAGGTTCTATAGATGGATTGATGCCTCCACCTCCTCTGCAAGTCCTTTCTGGCTACAGGAAATTTAGTCATTTTCTACTCATCATGTTAGAAGGATACCTTTATAAACACAACCTTTACTGTGCAATGAAAGGTTTTATTGTGTTAATGAATACAACAGTGGCATATTATGATGAAAACCTGATTTTATCTCTGAAATTTTCCTTCCCAATTATCATAACCTAAATTTAAAGATAGTGTGCAAAATATATGACCCAAAGTTCAGAAAACTGCTGAAATCAACACAAACCTCAGGACTTATCAAGAGATATTATTACTAAATATAGAGTATCCTAGTGGACATATAGGAACAAAAAAAGCACATAAAGCTTGGAGTGAATTGTCAAAGCAAAATTAAATAGGTTTAGAATGTTCTATTGAAGGATATTGTTATGCCAAAATGTGTCCATATCACAAGGGCTAGTGGTTGGCATGTATGTGGAGTTGAGGCAGGCATTGGGAAACATACACTTAATAATGGTCCTTTTCACAGAAAACATAAACTTGTTTTATTCTTATGACTATAAGAAGTTTTAGAGTTTGGAGCAAGTCTTTTAGAAGGTTTTATTCCATTCCTTTCAGAGACAATGAGTAGAAAACTCAAATTCCTTAACCATAATATTACAAGGGAATGGCTCCTGGGATATTGAAATGGAGCAAGCCTCGGCTAAAGAGCTATAGCAAAGACTTACACCCCACAAGAGCAGAGAAGGCTCCTGAACTCAGTGTTCTAAGAAGAGGAAGGATAGACCTTTACTTTAGGTCATCTGATTTTTACAAGAGTCAAGTTGGTCAGAGGCCTAGAGGCAAATAAACATGCCCACGGAGTTCAGGCTCACTGAGCAAACCGCTAAGACCACCATAACGATTCTTTATAGCAAAAATTTTATGCTAATATAATATTGTCCTAGTCATGGTTTCTATTCCTGCACAAAACATCTTGACCAAGAAGCAAATTGGGAAGGAAAGGGTTTATTCAGCTTATACTTCCATGTTGCTGTTCATCACCAAAGTAAGCCAGGACAAGAAATCACACGGGGCAGGAACTTGGAGGCAAGAGCTGATGCAGAGACCATGGAGGGATATTACTTATTGACTTGCCTCCCCTGGCTTGCTCAGCTTGCTTTCTTATAGAACCCAGGACTACCAGCCCAGGGATGGCACCACCCACAGTGGGCCCTCCCATCCTTGATTACTAAATGAGAAAATGCCTTACAGCTGGATCTCATGGAGGCATTTCCTCAACAGAGGCTCCTTTCTCTGTGATAACTCAAGCTTGGGTCAAGTTGACACACAAAACCAGCCAGTACAAATATCTTAGTACAATGAAAATGCTAATTTGGGATATATAGGTACTCTGTATTATTCCCAATTCTGTATGAACCACAGCTCTTGTAACAAAAGATTAGGTGATAATTTATTCTGAGCTAAATACAAAGGACTGACTGTGACCCAGAAGCTGTCATCCAGGTTTCTCTGATGATGTACTCCACTGTACAGAAGATCACATGGACCTTTATAGTCACAACAGAATGATATAAATCAAGGTATTTACCAAGTGTATCAGTGGGGAGATCTGAAGAGTAGGTAGGTTACATCCAGGGTAGGGGCAATCTCTGCTATGGATCTCACATTTTATCTGATAGCATTTTACCGTTTTAGCTGTTGGAAACAAATAATCCACTTAGTTGGTCTATTCCAAAAGTTTCATGTCACAGTATCAAAGATTTTAGGTCAGAATCAGACATTGATAATAAGTTACTTTGAAGGAGACTTATGCTATCTCAAAAGTAATTTTGACTGTTGGTCTTTAGTATGGCATGTTTTCTGTCCATGACCACAAAATTGTAGTCGGCCAGCTGTCTGCAACATTTTCGGCGTAAGTGGCACACATAGGAAAATTCCGTTCACACCAATTAAAAAGTCAGATTGGCTTCTGCAGTTAAGTCTTCATTCAGCTGTAGACTTCTTTCTACACACTGTCTCTAGGGTGATTCCATTAAGCTAATGCCTAAGTAGACGGAAAATCCCATGACAACTTTGTGTCATTTTTCCCCCCGAACATAATGAAAAGTTCTAAACTCTAACACCGCAATGTACTTTTAAGAAACTGGGTTTTGAGGGTCCTGAAGTGAATAGGGACTGCACAGGAAGACAAACAGCATCAAGGAACCTGAACCCTAGGGGGGTTCTCAGAGACTGAGCCACCAACCAAAGAGCATATCCAGTCTGGACACATATGTAGCAGATGTGTAGCTCAGACTCTATGTGGGTCCCTCACTGTCCTAAAGCTGTTGCCTGACTCTAGAAACCCTTCCCCAACAGGGTTGCTTTGTCTGTCCTCAGTAGAAGTGGGAGTGCCTAACCCTGGAGAGACTTGATACCCAGGGGAGCCCACCCTCTCAGAGGAGAAGGAGAGCCAGGGGAATAGGGGGAGAGTCTGTGTGAGGAGGGACTGGGACACAGCAATCAGAATGCAAAATAAATAAATAGATAAATAAGTGGAAAGAAAAAGAAATTGGGTTTTCAATATAAGTGGATAAAAGCTCACCTTCCATTTCCCCAATATAAAACTTGGCTTAAACAGGCTACTATTGATCACTTATTTAAAGACAGAAAAAAGAATAAATAAAACTAAATTATACCTGATATTTATATTATCTTATTATTTATTTTTTCTTTCTTCTTTCTTTTTCTTTCTTTTTTTTGTTTTTGTTTTTTGTTTTTTGTTTTTTTGTAATTTTTTGTTTTTACCCTCATCAGGACCGTGCACAAAATCTGAATGAGAGGCGAACAACCACCACCACCCTCACAGTAGATATTCTAGATGGAGATGACCTTGGACCTATGTTTCTGCCTTGTGTTCTTGTGCCAAACACCCGTGACTGCCGTCCACTCACCTACCAAGCTGTCATTCCTGAGCTGAGAACTCCGGTAAGTACACTTTCTTTTTCTTTCTTTCCATCCTTCCTTCCTTCCTTCCTTCCTCCTTTCTTCCTTCCTTCCTTTCTTTCTTCCTTCCTTCCTCCCTTTCTTCCTTCCTTCTTTCCTTCCTTCCTTTCCTTCCTTCTTTCTTTCTTTTTTCTTTCTTTCTTTCTTTCTTCCTTCCTTCCTTTCTTTCTTCCTTCCTTTCTTTCTTTTCTTCTCTCTCTTTTGTTCTTTCTTTCCTTTTTTTTCCATCTCTATCAACATCTTTAATCCCATTGAAGTCCCATCTCAGAATGCTTTGCAGATAGTTTGGTTGCTAATATCAAAACTCACTAGCAAAGAACTAAAATGATAGTTTTTGTATCATGCTATTTTTCTATAATATGTGGATAATGTCACAATGTATAATTTCATCCTTTACAAACGGGAAAAAAATCTCAAGAAGCCACAAACTCTCTGACACTGATATTTAAGAGAATGTCCACCAATAAGTGTTATGTCTAGTTGCTAGTACATTCAGAAATGTTAGAGGTGATGCTGGGCTCCTTGGAAGTAGGAATCAACAAATCCTGAATATACATCTCCACCCCTTGAAGGTATGTTTTAAAGAAACAGAAAGAAAAACACAGAGAGATATTTTCCACACTCAATTCAGAGTTCTGAAATATGCCAGCAGAGCTATGCATTCTTGATATTTGAAAGTCACAGTTTGGAACATCCTGGGTACCAGAAACACATACTTTAAGAATCAAGATTTTAAGACATTCCTGTTCATGAAAATGGCATTAGAAACTCAGAATGACAAGTACTACATGTTTGTTCTAATGTTCAGGACCTACATGGATGGATGGATGGATGGATGGATGGATGGATGGATGGATGGATG